TGATCGGTCGATGTGGCTAACAAGATTATCTTCCATTTCCTTCTATCGTCGACAACGCGATACAATTTAACACCCAATGACGCACGTACATGACAAGAATCTATGTCTTGCGTTCGCTTGTGTAGCTAATCACCCATATCGAAAGATGATAGGATCATTCATCCTAATTTTTTCTTTCGCTTTTTTTTCTCGTCCCATAGTCAGAGTTTCTTCTCTTCTTCTGCTCCGCCTTGAAGATCGAGAGCGTAATATAACATCGTAACAGTTTCCGCAATCTCGTGTGTTCTAGAAAATAAACGTCTTAACATCGACACTCGCATGCATCTGATGAAATCTGATTCTTCATTCTGTCTGCCTAGCGGCGGATCGTTCTCCTTCTCGTCGACTGATTTATAATCAATTCGATTACTTGGAAATTCACCACAGATTAATGCCTTTAGCAGACACATACTCTTGCCTTAGTTAGATAGTTGACGACTTTCTTCTTCTCTGCCTTGTTCAGACATTACCACTTGTCCTTTCTATCTATATATGTGTGCCGGATAATTATCTCTGTCAGATTTTCTTTTCCCCCCTCTCTCTCTCTTCTTTACTAGATCTTTCACCAGTTGCCATTCTAATTCGTCAAGAATAACAACAACAACAACAATAATAATAACAATAATAATAGAACAATCTTCATTATCATCTCACCCCCCGAGGATGTGAAACATGAACACTATATATACAAATTATTGCATGCTTCTTTTGTTCATTTATCTATATTATCAAGAAAGATTGACGATTAAATAACTTCTCATTTTCACATGTCTACAAATAGTTTTTTTCATTCAACGAGAATCGTCTCGAATGTCGATACAGAAAAAATGTCATATGATGACAAATCGTCCTTCTTTGTGAATTTCATCGACGCATGTCAAAAATACCTAGAAACATTCAAAAAAAGCCAAAGTTTCTTCAACCCTGAAGATATAACTTGTGATTTCGTGTTAAAGATGGGCAAGGTGACAAGTGATCGACACATACGAACGCGATACATAGATAGAAAGATAGATAGATATTGATGATATCATAGTGTTGATAATGATGACAAGAGTTACATCACCATTAAACATCGAAGTGTACAAAAAAAAATTTCACATACTGCAGAAGAAGATGAAGAAATATTGAGCGACGAATAAGAATGAATATCTGAAATGTTCTGATCAAAACGAAAGTAGCTGGCACCCTTCGGTGAGCCATTCTCTTAATCATCTGTTCAATCACTTAACATGTTGAGAAAAAACGTTTACATAACGAACTATTGCAATTAGTATGAATGTGTCGGCCTTCTCCTTGACTGCACGCTATATCACCATCATTGATTTTTGCTTCTTTCTCCATCTCAACTATCTGATTCGATGCATTTACCGCCTGATTAAACTTTTTTCTTTTCTCTTTCCAACCAATCATTAAAGACTTCGCGTATAGAGATACACACAGATGATTTCCTTCAGAAATCGATTTCAATAATGCTAAACTAGTAGAAACGACTATGTTCACTTGTTAATTAAGAGATTCCTAATGAGAAATTAATGTATAAATAATTTTCTTCCTTTCCTTTTCAATAGGAAAAGACAAGCGTCAATTATGATGATTATCCCAACTTCTCGCGCTAGAAGAAAGAGTTGTCATTGACAAATATTAGCAAAAGAGGAAGAAACGACAAGTTACTAGACTAAGGAAAAAAGAGAAGAAAACGGATAAGTAAATCGTCTGGTTGACTCTCTGGCTAACGGCATGTTTATCCGTGCGAATCGGATAATTACAAGAGAAAGCGAACGGAGCCGCATACGCTCGCTCAAACGATTAGAGAGACGATCTAGTAAAAACAAACGTTGATGTGTTTATCAACTGGCATACGAGAGCAATGAAACATTTGTCAATTACACGGACATTGTATCCATAGGCTTTCTTTTCTCATAATTGATATATATGTTTTATTTTTTTGGTGATTCGATAAATTGTTGTTTAGAAACGCGAAAAAAGAAAAGAGAGAGAGAGAGAAAGAGAGAAAAATGAAACATCTGAATCAAAGCAACAAAAAAAGAAAAGCTAGGTGATAGTTATAGTAAGAGTATTAGAATAGCAAACAACAACAGCAAAAAACGAAGAAGAAGAAAAGAGAAAAAAAATCACTGAACAAAAAGAAAAAGAAAGAAAATATTTATAGATACAATAAAAGTCTCCCTTACCGAGAGAGCACCGGGAGACGAATTTTTTTTGTATGTGTGCATGTTTTATTTTGTTTTGCTCTTCACGTCGTTGAAGAATCAGGTGACGACGGAGGAGAGTAACTGCCGGCACCTAAACCGTATTGTTGTCTACAAAATTCAAGGTTAATGTCAATACAAAGAAATGCAAATCTTCTAGTAAATATATATGTATCAACATACCGATTCTTTGCTTGAGCTGCACGATCACGCTGACGTCGATTTTTGAACCAATTGCCTACTTGTGTTGGCGTTAATCCTGTAGCTTGTGCAAGTTCACGTTTTTTGGCTGGATTTGGATATGGATCTTGCA